AGGACCTGAGCCGAAGGCAGAGGCTTAACCGTCTGGGCCACCCAGGGGCCTGGGACTTTTCTTTAATACTGAACTTAACCTGGGGGTCAGCCTATGTGCAAACTCCCTCCTCCCCTCATCAAAGAAAAAAAAAGCCCAGAGAAGAAACTCCATAATAACAGGTAGATGATATGGCAAATGTTAAAATGCATAGATTTTGATACAGATATATTTTTCGCAGTCTTGGCTTTGCTCTTAACAGCTGTGTGACTTTGAATAGATTGCTCAATTTCTCTGAACCTGAGTCCCTACATCTGAGAAATGGGGATAATCACGGAGCCTAACTTACAGGGACGCTGTGAGGACTGTACAGCATAATGTGCATAATGTGCTTACTAATGAGCTTAGTAAGGGATAATTGGTGTTTTAGTCTGAAATACAAGTGCTGGTGGGAAACGATGTCAGTTTTGCCCTATTGAGGACACAGGTTTTTAAAAGGAAGAGACAGGAAAACTGGGAGTTTTGCAATTGAGAGGAAACTAGCAATTTGCCAACAGAGCTCAAAATGACTGTGTATAAAGCTCCCATGAGTTTCCATTGTATTAGATGATAGTTCTTCATCTGCTTAGCTCTGAGAAGATGCCTTCTAGGTGCCATGCCCCTTGAAGGAAGCCCTCTGCTGAGATCCTAGGAGAAGAGACCTCATAGGAATGTCTATACCTGTGCCAGGAAATAATCCACTGCACTTAGGTGAGGCTTGGAGAGTTTGGTGATATTTGGGGCTCTTTTTACCAGAGTGAATCCAAAGCCCTCTGATGAAGAGTGGTTATTTCAAATAAAACCAACCTTTTGAAAATGCAGGAGCAGCAGCAGTTTGGGTGGCGGGTAGTGAGGGAGAGGAGTCTGGGCAGGCTTTGCAGCAAGGTGCGGGAGGTTCCCACGGATGCTTGCATCTGAGCCTCTGGGAGAGCATTGGGCTGGGGATGGAGTCAGGCAGTCGTTGGTTTGGGTGTGATTTTATGACATGAGATGGTGCCCAACGAGGGCAAGGAGATAGAAATGGGCCATGGGCCTGGGATGGAAACACAGAAGACACAGAACGAGACACCGAAGACACGGAAGGAGGAGACTCAGAGAAAAGTGTTGGTGGGGGTACGAGGCGGCCAGGGCTACGGAAGCTAAGGGAAGAGGGTTTTACAGAATGGTGGAATGTATCCATCTTGAACATGGCATAAAGGAAGAGGAAGGGAACCAAAGTGTTTGTTGGAAAAACGGGTGTCAAAGAAAAACTTCTTGAGGGCAGTCTCCATGGCGTTGGAGGGCAGCAAACAGACGGTGGCGGGTTGCGGAGTGAGTGAGGGTGGTGAGAATAGACCGGTCTTTTTAGACGTTTGCTGGAGAACAAGGTAGGTGGTGGGGTGACTGGGATGTGCGGGGTGCGCGTGGGAGCTGCCCAAAGGCTGGTGGAAGGAGGACTGATCCCAGGGCCACTCTGCCTGGTGAGAGACAAGCTTGCGTGGTCCGAGCCCATCCCCGGCAGCCGAGTTGCCATGGTGACGGCGGCCTGGCCTGCTGGTTCGGAGGCAGATGGTGTTGCTACCTGCATGTCCCGAAGTGGCAGGGACACCTGGACTTAATTAGCCTGTTTGGATAACAAATGTTGATCCTGGGCCGCAGCCAGGGTGCCATCCTTGCTGCTGGTGAGGTGGAGTCCCAGGAGGAGGGGATGAAAAGAGAAGGCAGGTCCGTGAAGGCAGGTCCGTTCCATCAGTGCTCCCCTGCACTTGGGTGCCCCCGGCTCCAGCTCAGAGGCACCCCCCCCCCGTTATGCACGAGACCCTGGCGCCCATCCAGCAAGCCAACATCCCCACAGTCACTTGGCCACCTCCACGGCCACCGCCCCTGTGGCCAGTCCCGCCAGGTCCTGCACAACAGTGTTATTGTGGGAAGTTTCCAATTAGCGCTTAGCATCCACGCGGCCACTTCTAGCTGCCGTTCTGCAGCCGGCCCCGCAAAACCCCGCTGCACCGGCGCCAACAAAGCAAGAGCTTCCTGCGTGGGGGCCCCCTGCGATGTCGGGAAGGCTCCTGCTGGATGGAGGAACAAAGGGTAATGGTGCAGAAAATGCAGCCGCCGCCTGTCTGGTCTCATTCTTTGCTGTCTTCGTGTCGTCCCCAAACAGCTGACTGGCTGTTCGAGCCGCAGACGGTGGGGAGGGTGGCCCTGCTCCCAGGAGGACGAGAAGGGGAGGGGCCCGGGCCTGGGTGGGGCCCGTGGGGGGCTTGGCAGTTCCCCAGAGTCTAGAGGTGAAGGGTTTCTCGGGGTGTTGAGGACGACCGGAGGGGAAGTGGGCAGCGGTGCAGGAATTCTGGAGCAGGGCACCCGGGCTTTGCCATCGGAGGCCCCACGGGCACTTCGCAGGACGTGGTTTGGAGCGGCCGGGGGCTGATGAGGTGCGTGGCTGGAAGCCCACGGGAGGGTGGGCTGGCTGGCGCTCGGTGGCATCCTGGCTGGCAGTGCCTCCGCACAGGGGGCTCGGCCTCTGCATTCAGACAAACCTGTTTCTGGGTCCCCGCACTTTTCCCGGCCTGCTGAGGTTCTCTTGCCGCCTTTGTGCTCTTGTGCAAAACGGGGGAAGAACTGGCTCCTTCCGCCAGTTGCTGGGAGCTTCCCCGACATAGGAGTCGTGCCCCTTGGAACCTCTTCTTCTGTTCCCAGCTGTCCTGGGTGTGGGGTCTGGGGTCCCTGCCCCCGGGAGCTCAGCTCCCCAAGCTCCGTAGACATCATGGCCAGTCTGGACTTCTCTCTTGCTTTGCTGCTCAGGATGGGGTGATCCTCGTACATTTTACCACCTTGGGAGCCTTAACCTAAAGGATGAGGCATTGAGGGGAGAGTAAGTCACTGTGAGGGAGGCGTTTGTTTCAGGGGGAGATTCCGGGACCCCTCACATGCAGGGTGCTGCTTGTGTTGTAGCTCTGGGTGGTGGACATGGTAGCAGGTATGGACTTTCTTCTCTGTGCCTCAGTGCCTTTGGGGTCATGGAGCCTTTGGGACAGAGGCTGGAGCACGGGAGGGGGAAGGCTGTTGGCTTTCCCTGGGGTGGCCAGTGCTCAAGGCAGCTCTGGCCCTGGCAGCTGAGGGACCTGGTAGGGGCATAAGTCAGAGGCTGGGAGTGGGGAGGGAGGGCAGAGCTGGGTCTGCCCTGGCCCCAGATTCCCAGGAAGGCAGGCCCAGGACGTGGGGGGCAAGTGGGGACCACGTTCCCATGTACAGCTGGGGGATGTGCACAGAGATCCCCCCTCACCTCAGCATTCTCTTACTGCCCTGTTTGTGCCTGGGATGGCTTGGGCCGCCCAGCCGGCCCTGGGGACGTTAGGGACCCGAGGACCCCTCTGCTTGTTGTCCCTCGGGACTTCTGGGAATCAGCTGAGGGTGTGATTCCTGCGTGTTAGCACAGTTAGGTCCCCCCGCAGACGACGGGCTCTTCGAAAGCAGAGCTGGACAGGAGAGAGATCCGATTCGTCCACTGCAAAGTCTCTGCCACCAAAGGCCTTCATTTCTTGCTGGAAGAACATGCATCCGGGGCCCCGCGGGAACCGGAGCTTGGACTGAGGCTCTTGGAATCAGCAGTAGTGGGGGGGGGGGGGGGTTCAGGCGGTGGAGACGCCTGCTGCACTCCGGGCTGTGCTCTGTGGGAGGCGGCTGCTGAGCCCGTGTGTCATTCGGGCCATCGGCCCTTCCCCGGGGGCTCCTCTGGCTTCTCTTACACACCAGCTTTCCCATTCTCCTTGTTCCGCACGGACTCAGGTGTGCAGAGGACTGCTGAGGGCAAAGCCACAGCCCGCGGGGTGGGGGCGTGGGGTCACGGGCACCCCGTAAACCGGAGGCTGCTCTCTCTAGAGCCCTGTAACGACGTAGCCAAGGAAGTGGCTGCTCAGAGAGCTTAGGATACTTGCTCACAGACACACAGGTTGAATGAGTGAGCCCCAAGGCCCGGCTCCTAGCTCCCCAGGCTGATGCCCAGTGCGGGCGTGTGGAGCCCTTGCCCATTATCCGACGACATCGGGTGCGTGACACCTGGCACGACACACGCCCTGCAGGTCTCTGGAGGTTTCTGAGCTGGCTCATAGATAGGAACCCCTGCCTTCTGTGTTCACGGATGTGGGGCCTCTAATGCGGCAGCGTGGCCAGCAGAGGGAGCGAACTCCCAGATTCCCGGATTTAATAATGAATGAGCCCTCTTAAGAGTTTCTGAAATGACAGGGCAATCAAGGCTCATTTGGGGGAAGAAAAGACGGAGCTTTCATTCTTTATCCAAATCATCTCTACCTGCTAAAAATGATGTATAATACATAAGCATCGAAAGTGATTAAAATCCTTATGAATTTAATCAGAAATTCACAGTTAACCACTATTTGCTTTGGTGCAAATTGATGTGGAATAACAATCATGTGTATCTGCAATTTTTTTTTAACTTGTGGGAAATTTGCTGGTGATTTGTGGGGGGGGGGATGTTCGCGGGGAGGAGGGTTCTTCTAAAGGAGAGAAACAGAGGAAGGAAGGAAGGAAGGAGTTGAGAGCGGGCTCCCTGGGGGCCCCAAACGCAGGCACTTAGCAGTTCTGTCAAAGGTCTTTGTTCATAAATTTCAGGCCTTTGCTATTTATTATTATGAACAATAGGAAATCCTAATAATAACTCCTATGTGTGCCATTTGCTTCAACCAAGCCAAATTCTCTGAATTGTTTCTTACCTCTGAGTCACATGCTTGGTCCAAAGCTCCTCTCCCCGCCCCCCCACTGCTTCTTTCCATACTTTCCTTCATTTTTTCCCTAAATTATTCCTCGTAAAATCAGACCACTGACGGGTTTCAAATACAGACGTGCACACAGCACGAGACGGCGGCCCCTTCACTCCCTTCCTCCCTTCAAGAGGACGTTCTTGGAAAGTGGAAATAGCCCCTGGTAAGTGTCCCCGTGGGGGAAAGTAAAGGTCGAGTGAAGAAAGATCTAGAAGCCCTCACCGTCCTTTCTGCGCTGGGGACTTTCTTGTAGAAGGTTTTCTCTGTGTCTCCGATCCAGACCACGGAGGGCTGGAGCTCGCGGGCCACCTGCAGGGAAGAGAGCCTTGGCTGTGAATGCATGTGTATGTGTCTCTCGGTCCCCAACCAACAGCAGGGTGTGGTGGCCCCCCGCCCCCGACACGGCTCCCCGGGGTGGCCGGGGGCTGGGGGGGCTCCGCTGCACCAGCAGGGCCGGGCGCACCTGCCTCCCCTCCCACCTCCCGCGCGGGACACACGCCAGGGCTGCACATTCTGCTCTAGGACCCGGAGCCTGGAGTCAGGGTGGGTTGAAATAAACCGATGGTTCTCCGCTGCAAACACACGGGCGTTGGGGCCTCGAGTTTTAATTACAGCCTACTTGCTGCTCCCAGGTTCATTCAGACTCGCTCATCAGGAGGGAGGCTGTGTCAGCTCAAGGGCCCCCGCGATGCCATTTGTTCACCTCCGTGGGGCTGTGCTTTGTGGCGGAGGTTTTGCCTGGGAGGTGGCTCTGAGCACCCCCGCAGCGGCAGGCAGGGCTTCGCGACGGCGCTGGGACTTACCTGGGGCCTGTGAATAATTGCCACGCGCCGAACAATCTCTTCAAAGTGCCCGCATGATAGCAAAGTTCGGGTATTTTTGCAACAATTTGTGCTTTGTGCAAAATTGTGACGGATCAAAGCCGTCTCCGGTCACAGCAAATATAGTGTTATGTACTCCTATTTTTATCTTTCTTAAAACATCATTAAGGCAGCCGGCGTGAGTTGTAACCAAGATAGGTATTTAATAAACGGTGGAAAAATCGCCGGGTGCACTGTGGCCATGGCTGTTTCCCCGGCATCACGTACCAGGGGGAGCAGATTGCACACGCTTAAAGACAGGCGTGCATGGAACTCAATCCGGGTGCCTGGCTGTGTGCCTTCCCCGTCTCACACTCACCAGCATGTCCAGGGAGGAAGCAGGATGAGCCGACCACTGTTTGGTAGGCCTTTAGTTTTCATTTTTTAAAAAAGATTTTTAAAAAATTTTTATTTATTTGAGAGAGATGAAGCATGAGCGGGGGGGAGAGGGAGAGGGAGAGGGAGAGGGAGAGGGAGAGGGAGGGAGAGGGAGAGGGAGAGGGAGAGGGAGAGAGGGAGAGGGAGAGGGGGAGGGAGAGGGAGAAGGAGGCTCCCCCCCTGAGCCAGGAGCCTGAGGTGGGACTCGATCCCAGGACCCCAGGATCGTGACTTGAGCCCACGGCAGATGCTTCACAGACTGAGCCCCTCAGGTGCTGTAGGCCTCTAGTTTTTAGACACAGAGCCATAGAGTTTAAGAATCTAGAATCGCAAATTGTGATCTCAATTCCCAAGCGGCGTGGCCGGGTGTGAGTTGGGGAGCAGCCGTGTGCCTGGCCAGGGCCTCATGGGTCGCACAAGGCCGACAGGGACGCGGCCCATCCTCCCCTTGCTGATGACTCAGTCACGCAGCAGGTGCCACTCTGCTCAACCAGGACCACGGATGGCAAAACTCGGCGGAGGGACGCGAAGCGAGCTGTCCACCCGCACGCAGCTGGGAAGGGGCAGCAGCTGGAGGCGCCGGGGGGCTGCGGCTGCAGAGTCTGCAGGAAGCTCGGCCGACACCCGCAGGTGCCCCCTGTCCTGGAGCCACACCCTTGGGCGCCCCCTGGGGCAGCTGCCCCTTCTCTGGGCCCCGGGCCGCAGGCCCCTGACTCTGCTGCCTGGCGGGCCCACTGCGTGCGGCCGGAGGGCGGGCTCCCCGCGGCCACTGTTGAGCTCCTGGAAGCCCAAAGCGCCCCTACTTCCAGCCCCCGAGGAGAATAAGAAAACGAGATGCGGGCTTCTAAGCTTCTTAGGAAAGAGACACTTGATCATGACAAAGGCACAGTCTTACCCTCCCCGCTCCCTCTTAAAACAGATCACAGCTTCAGGGCAGGAGGGCGCCGCAGGACGGTCCTTACAGAGACCCGCGTCGTCTGCGGTCCTGGGCCAGTCCTGCGGCGGCGGGAGCGGCAGGCCTTGGTGTGTCCCCCCCCCCCCCCCCCCCGTCCCTCCCGTGTCCGCGCGGCCAGCTGGAGCTTTCCCATGGTTCCACTCCTGGCTCCATGCTCCCTGCCGCTCGGCTCGATGGAACCGCGGAGGGGAGCACCAGGAGCCTCCCTGGGCCTCGCCTCCTCCGGCCTCTCAGCAACGTGAGCCTCGGCGATGGTCCTGCAGTGCAGGCGTCTCCTCAGCTCGGGGTGACTTAGACAGTGTCCGTCTTACTTCCTGCACCTGATTTAAGATCATGCTGGTCATCGGCGTTGCACGGGCTGTGCGGGTGGACAGCTGTCCGTGAACTTGGCGGTGCCCCCCGCCCCCTGGGGCCCCGGGCCAGTTCCTCATTTCCTGTGCTTGTCACCCGCACCTGTGCCTGCTTGGCTCTGACGGGACCGGGCACCTGCGTTGGGGCCACACAGGGCTGCGTGGAGGACCCTGGTGGCGACGTGGTTTGGAAGGGCTCCGTTCTTACCAAAGGAAGCAGCAGAGGTTTCCCCAGTGAGTTCTTGGGCAAGGACAATCCAAGGAATAATCATTTGCCTCCATCTCCGGCCGCCGCGCCTCTGCCCTTCCTCACCGTGTGCCGCACATGGTGCCAAGTGTGTCCCAGCGTGTCCCCCTTAACATAGGAGGTCGCTGAGGCAGACAACAGGGTAACACACCCACCAGCGTGAGACAAAGGTTGGACCCCAGAGTGGGACCTGGTCTGCCCGACACCCCCGGGCCTGGAAGGCCCTGTTGCCACCGTGGTAGACACGATGCCCATTCCCACCAGAATGTAGGATGAGAGCGGTCCTCATGACTCTTCCTTCACTAGCGCTTCTAGAAGAGCTCTGATGTGCCCAGTGCTGTGCATGGTGCTGGGGTCGCTGCCCTCAAGGACCTGCCCATGGGAAGGGAGGGCAGCCCGAGGCAAATGGGATGTCAGCAAGGCCCACTAATGATGGAAAGAGGGACAAGTGGGTCAGGCAGGTGACCAAGAATGGAGATTGCAGATAAAGGTCCAAGCAGGCTGAGCTTCTAGTGGCTTCTAGGAAATCACAGAGCCTGAAGAGGGGGACGCACTGGCCATGCTGAGGACCCGAGCCAGGGAGCAGGGCTAAGTGTGTCCTCGTGGGGCTGCCTGAGGTCACAAAGGCATCATAAAGGCTGTGGCCATCCTATGGAGTTTGCTTCTATACTGGAGGCTATGGAGAGTCTGAGGGACTTGAATCAAGAACCTTGATCCCAGTTGTGTCACAGAGAAATCCCACCGGTGGGTGTGTGAAGTATGAGGTGCTGGGCAGCTGTTCCCGGGGAACTGGGAAATTGGTTGGTGGGCACATGGGAACGGAAGGCAGGAGCTCACAAGTGGAGGAGGTGGGTGGCTGGGCCCGGTGAGGGCTATGGAGTGGGCCCAGGGGGTGAGGACGCTGATGGAGCCGGAGGGCTCAGGGTCGGGGGGGGTGCCCCCAGAGCCCAGGGAGGTCCGAGGTGCAGGAGGGAAGTGGGGAACGCAGCCAGCGCTGGCCCGAGGGGCTGGCAGTCTGGAGGTCACTGGCGGGGCGTGGAGGGGACAGAAGCCAGGTGATGGTGGCTGAGACGTGCACAGCAGGGACCCTACAGGGAGCGTTCTCACCGAAGGATGGGGAGCACAGAGATGGGAGGTGGCGTGGGATGGGAGGGGAGTCAGGAGAGGATGACCTCCGAGGGAGTGAGAGGGAGGACGGCCACCGGCGCAGGCTGCACGTCTGTGAGACAAGGGAGGTTGGCAGATACAAAGGGCGGACAGACCAAGCTTTGAGAACATGGAAATTCGTGGAAATTCCGTCCTTTCTTATTGCTGTGCAAAAGCGTATTCATTAGCAAAATTTTCAGAATGCCTATTGAGGCACACAGACTCTTTGCCTCCTCTGTTCAAGTGAATTGTCAGACGTTTCCTGTCTTTACAGACCGTCTTCGACGTGCATTATTTCCCAAAATCAGATTGTTTCCCAACACTGCTTTACGTTCTGCTTCACCCAACATGAAATTTAGTTCTCCAACATCATTTTAACACGAAGTCCCATAATATATTGATCGAAACTCCTGTTCTTGAACGTTTGGAAGTTTTCTGCCTTCTCAGAAAATTAACCAGGGCTTCAAAGAGTTTGGAGGCACAGGAAGGGTCATTTCCTTAAAACGAGGCCACATCCACAGCTGCTGGGTCTCAGGGCTTGTGTTTTTCATGTTTTCCCCCTTCATCGTCAACCTGCCCTCCTGGAGATTCTCTGCTTACAGTGTCTCCAGCCGTAGATGGGTGTACCTGTTTTTTCTATACTCTTCCCCTTAACGAGTATTAACAATAAAAAACTCTTTGCCAATTTGTTAATGAAAAATGGTATCCTTTGCTCTTTTAATTTTCATTTAGCAATGAAAAGCCTTCATTTAAACTATCCACAGATAGTTTGAGGTCATGGGCAATTAGATGTAATTAATTCATAATTGAACTTTCCAGAAGTTACACAGGACAGTTTATTTCAGCTGCCAGTAGAGGGCTCTTCAGTCCTATCAAATATAACCACAGGTTTTCAGTTTCCTGTCAATTCTGGGAGGAAACCATTTGCTTCAACGTGGATGGAACTGGAGGGTATTATGCTGAGTGAAGTAAGTCAATCGGAGAAGGACAAACAGTGTATGTTCTCATTCATTTGGGGAATATGAATAATAGTGAAAGGGAATAGAAGGGAAGGGAGAAGAAATGTGTGGGAAATATCAGAAAGGGAGACAGAACATAAAGACTCCTAACTCTGGGAAATGAACTAGGGCTGGTGGAAGGGGAGGAGGGCAGGGGGTGGGGGTGACTGGGTGACGGGCACTAAGGGGGACGCTTGACGGAATGAACACCGGGTGTTATTCTGTATGTTGGTAAATTGAACACCAATAAAAATTAATTTATAAAAAAAAATTCTGGGAGGAAGATGAATTTCCACCAACATGTGCTTTTTCATATTCTGGGGAGCTCTATCAAACAATTAAAGATTCTCCTTTCATGAGAGTTTTATGGCTTTG